CTTCTCACACGCACTCTCGCTTGCGCTCTGGCTCTCTGAACACAGCTCCCCAGGGTAGCCCACTTTACCAGGCTGGTGGCCAGCCCAACCAAAGCATGAAGCAGGGGCAGCATCCTGAGCCAGACTAATCCCAGCGGTGGGGTGATCCAGAGACTCCTCATGCCACAAGTCAGCCTTTTTGTTTTGCATTTTTTAAAAAAGTTCTTATTTGTTTCTTCCACGAGAGAGAGAGAAGTACCCCAGCGAGGTCTTCACATCATGACCCACCCTCAGCCAGCCCTAATTACAGTCACATGTGCATGCTCCACACACAGGGAGGTTCCAGGAAGTGAACCCAGAACCTTCCGTGTGGGTCCAGTTGGGTTACTGCTGCACCACAGGGTCCCGTTGCTGCATTCATGAACGCTGCCTCTCTCTTAGACCAGATGTATCATAGCCTTAACTCATGGGCAGGTTCTGATGGGGTAGCAAAGCTCCTTCCTGGCTTCTAAGCACTTCCTCAAGGCTAGCCTGGGACCGCCCTGTGTCTGGGGGGCCCAACAGGCAAGCCCAGGCCATTTGTGGCAATCCCCCTGAGATAGCAACATTGGGCATGACCCCCCTCCACTCCCCCCCAAAAAAGGAATTCCAATGACTTCTGCTGACAATAGAAGACATGGGTGACCTGCTGGCATGTGTTACAAAGGGCATCGCAGATCACGTGTGCTTGGGCATTTTTTGTGCTGGGAAGAATATGAAGTTATCACCATTACGCTTTACCGTTTGCTTTACCGTGTGACTGCGCCCTCTCTCCCCAGCTCCTTCCAGCCTACCAGTAGCTACCAACAGGGCATGAAGCATCTGACAGTAATTGATGAGGATGGCAACTCCATGATGGTAATATTGACTTGGAGACATTAACCTCCTGGCTGCAGGGCTGGGAGTTTTGAAATGCGATCTCCCCAGCTGTGGTTATAATTGTTTTATGTCACATTGACCCGGCATGTTTACGATTTTTAACAACAGTCTTAAAAAGTCCAGTGACATCTGTTGAGAGTTTAATTGTGAGTGTAAAAAAAAATCATTAAAGGAACAGTCAGGAGATCAATTTTCATACTGTTTAAACAACACTATGGCCATCAGGCTGTGGGGGAATCCGGCGACGTGAGTAATTTACTCTCCCAAGTCTCAGCGCTGGCGTACCGAGACCGGAGGGAATGGGGGAGAATTTCAACAAAATGGGAGAGGAAGGCAGAGGACGAAGGAGCAGAACGGAAAAAGAGGGAGCGCGAGTGCACAGGGGAGAAGATAGGAAAAAACGGCCTTTTTTCCTCCAGTCGGAAAGTATCAATAACATCGGCGCAGGCTGGGCGCCCGAGCTGGGGGACACGGCAGCGCCCCATTTCCCTCGGGTTCGGCGGCGGGGCGGAGAGGAGGACAGCGCGGGCGCCCC